ACTACCACTCAGCTGTTGTAAAGATAAAGTGGAATTTATCTTTCAAAATAGAATGAAATGCCTCAATCCAAGAATCCAAGCTGAGCTGATATTTCAAAATGAATAAATCGCCAAAATCTTCCCACTCCCACTTGCACCCCACACAAAACGTTTTCTAAAAACATGTAATTCAAACGTATGGCTGAATAAGGGAAGCAATTATTCTTTTGAAAGTATTTGCCATCCCAAGGCTGCAAACTGCTGTATGCCAGCCTCTATTTTTGCTAGTATTAAAATATATTAAAACACTTGAAGCATTACTCCTTATGATCTGACCCTCATAGTAAACTTCCATTATATTGCCATGATCTTTTTGAAACTTTATAGGGCCTTTTACATTAGAGTTCACTTTTGGTATTGTACAATCTGTGGGTTTGGACAAATGTATAATGACCCATACTCATCATTTATTATCATGCAGAGTACTTTCACTACCCTGAAATTCCTCTATGCTCTGACTGTCTGTCCCACCCCCAACCCCCAACCCTGGCCACGGCCAATCTTTTACCTACATTCATAGTTTTGCCTTCTCTGAAGTGAAATACAGTTAGAATTACACAGTATATAGCCTTTCAGATTGGCTTTTTGGACTTAGTAATATGTATGTAGGTCTCCTTCATGTATTTCCATGGCTTGATAGTTTATTTCCCTTTAACACTGAAAAGTGATATTTTATTGATTGGATGTGCTAGAATTTGTTGTTCATTAGCCTACTGAAGGACACCTGGGTTGCTTCTAAGTCCTGGCAATGATAAATAAAGCTGCTGTAAGCATCTTATGTGGGGTGTTGTGTACATGTAAGTTTCAGTTTTCCGGGTAAATAATTTGAAATAAATTTTTATAGTTGCTTGCAACCTTGATCAGCAATAGAGTATCATATTTAAAAGTGTATTCGTTTCTCTTTCTCTAGAGGTAACTATTATTCTTAAGTTGGATTCATTTCTTTGTACTCAGAGGTAATTATTACATTTAAGCTTAAATGATTACATTTAAATTATTACATTTAAATCATTCCTGTTTATGTTTTTATAGTTGTAGTATGCCTTTTTGTATTGACAATATATAATATTGATTACTATGCTCACAAATATACATAATCCCTGTGGTAAAGATATACTGGTACATAATCACTGTTTTTCTATCAATATTGTATTCCATATATTTTCACTTTGATGCAGTTAGTACTGGGTAACTCTTTCTAAATGCTCTATAGCACGTACATTTATGGTAAGGGCACTTTTTTACAGACTTATTTATCAATTCTTTTGCTGGACATTGAGGTCGTTTCCAATGTTTGGTTAATATAAAGAAAGCAGCAGTGACATCCTTATCCATATCTGCTCATGCACACGTGCACGTCCCTGGCCTGGGGAATGTACCTGAAGGTGTAACTGTTTACAAACTTTGATTAACTTCAACTTTACTAGACATTGCCAAATTCTTCTCCAAAGTGGATTACAGTTTACGGCTTCCTTTATAATAATTGCAAGTTTTTCTTTCCCAGACATTTATCAGCATTGCTCTTGTTGAATTAGGTGTAAAATGCTCTTTTTTAATGGAGTTCATTTTAATTTGTCTAATTATTAAGGAGGATGAGGAACTTGTGGAATATTTATTGGCTGTTCTTGTTTCCTTATGTATCAGTTGCCTGCTGTCCGTTGGTCACTGGGATATCTTTTTCTTATTGATTTGCAGCACTGTTTACTAGATCATTACCCTTTCTTGGTTGTATGCATGACAAATTTCATCTCCCAGTTTTCAGCTTATATTTATTTTTAACTTTGTATTTTATCACGCAGACATTTTATATTTACTTACCTTCATCAATTTTAAGTCTGTCAGTCTTCAGCTATATGATTTTTCTTTTGAGTTTTTAAAAAGTTCTTTCCATGCTCATTATCATATTTTATTATTTGAATTTAAATATGAATCTGGGGAGAATTGACATCTACCTGATACTGAGTCTTCCCATTCATGTGTATGGATATGGTATACTTCTCTACCCATATCATGCCATTAGGATTATGCATATCTTTTTAAATACTTAGTATTTTTGTTGTCATTACCATTTAAAAACATTTTATTGGCTCTTATTTGTGTACATCGATGCCATTGATTTCCGTGTATTGACCTTGTGTCCAACGACCTTGCCGAACACGCCAACTAATTCTTCCAGCTTATCGGCAGCATCCCCTGAGTTGTCTTTGTACACAGTTACATTACATGCAGTTAATATATTCCTTTCCAAGTATTACATATATCAACACTGTGTTGCATTAGCTAGGAATTTCCATCATTTTTTATGGAGGCAGTGATGGTGAACATCCTATCTGGTTTCCACCTTATAGTATTTCTAACTTTTTGCTTCTAAATATGTCATATATCTGTCAGGTTAAGGAGGCTCTATTTTATTAATATTTTGCTTATCAAAATAAATACTGGATTGTAGACTATTCAGTGTATTTCACAATGCTTGCTGGCATTTTTCCTCCACTATCTGTTAATGTGATGAATTACATTAATAGATTTTTCTGTTATTGAACTACCCATTCATTTATTAGAAAAACTCTCTTCTTAGCCATGATTTTTTCTTATGCATTTTCTTGATTGCATTTGATATTTTATTTTCTATTTCCGAATCTAAGCCTAAAGTCAGAACAATCTATATGTTCATTTTCTCATTTACATTAGTATCAAGGCTTCAGCAAACTCATAATATATACCAAGAAACTTTTTTTTCCTCTTAAAATGGCTGTTTCAGGAACTCATTCACAGGCTATTCCATAAAAATTCCCAAAGTCACATTCAATATTTTTTCTTCTCTTTACCTAGATTTCAACACACACTTTTTACTGATTTGTAACATATTTTTAAATACTATATGCCTTACAAAATCAGCATCTCAAGCTGAACACAGAAAAATCCAAAATTATCTCTACTTACTTTTCATACTCCATCTTTGCTAGGAATATACTAAACAAACCATATGGGCCAAGAAAAATTTTAAAAACTTTAATGAATAAGAAAATTGAAAATTAAACTTCTATCTTTTCATTGCTAATATAAGAATAAAAAAAATAAGACACCAAATCTGCACTGAAAGGAAAGCTGAGTTTTATTCACATGCAAATGCTGTAACAGGGAAAGTAGATCAATTAAAATATGTTAAAAAGTTAGAAATCTTCGAGTCTTCACAGTTGTTAACCCTGGCTTTAAAAAAATGTTTTAAGGACCGTGAACAAAATATGGGTCTTTCCACATTAGCACTGGAGTTTGACAGGTGGGCTGCTAGAGGTTAACGGTCACCGCAACTGTGGTGGAGTCAGCAGGTGGCAGCAGCTCCCACTAAAAAAGCGGAGGGAAGCAGCGCAGCTGGTAACAGGCCGGCAAAGCGGCTAGTTCCTGTCTGTACCTGCTCATCCAGAAGAGGGAAGAAATGGTGCAATGCATAAATCCCACTAACTTTAACGAAACAAATGGGACTTTTATATCTACTTGACCTCTAGAATTAATAGCAAACAAAATAGATGGGTCTAGGCTTTCTAAACCTTTGCTCCTCCCCTTCCTCCTCTTCTAATTTTTTGCATTCTTTGGGTCTTGCTGAAGCCTTTTCTTTTCAGGGAAGCTGGCCATGCTTTTAGACTTCTGCTATCTTTTATTAAATCACAGTGGGTAACGATAACAATACCAACATGTAATCTGATAATACAAGTGATCATTTATTGAACAGTTCGTATGTGCTAGGTTTTCTGTTAGGAGTTTTACGTTATTTAATTTGCACAGTAGCTCAATGAATCAGGCACTATTATTATTATTATTCTCATTCTATAGATATGAAACTGAGACACAGAAAGGTTCAGGAACTTGCTTAAAATTATACAGCTACTAAGTGGAAGGGGCCAAAAGACCACCACAGTCTGTCTTCTTACCTGGAGCCTATGCTCTTCACTATTACTCAGGGATGTGGTAGTCAGGGAAACCAATCCCTGCAACTGGATAGGCTAGCAAATATTTTAATTCCATTAGGAAACCGGCTTCTTCTAGCTATTTAAAATGTATATGTCTCTAAAACCTTTTTAAGAAGTATGTCCACAGGTGGGCATTTAAGGTCACTGAGAGTTCAGTGTTGAAGAGATATTGGGATGGACAGACCAAGGAGCAATCTCAGCTTCTTCCCTTACTGTCTGTGGAAGCTTGACAAGTTGTGTGACCACCCAGAGATGAACTTTCCTAATACATTAAATGGTAATAATAATACTTCAGTTATTGTGAAGAGTGAGATAACATAGGATAGTTTCCAGAACATAGCTAAGTACATCCTTGATTAATATTAGGTCACCTGGTTGATACAAGAATCAACCAATAAATGCATAAATAGGTGGAACAACAAATCTATGTTTCTCTCTCTCACCTTCTCTCCCCTCCCCCCTTCTTCCCTTCCTTCCTTTCTCTCTCAAATAAATAAATAAATAAATACAGCTCTTTAAAGAATATATTAGTTCATGTCCACCTTCCTCAGTAAAGCAATGTCAACTATGAATTTCCCTTGGGTAGGGTGAGTCTGGAAGAATTAGTTGGAGGGTAGTAAAGAGCAGTAATGATTAACTGAGGAATAACTCTGCATTATTAATTTTTGTATCTTCCTCAGTATATCAAATGATAACAAATGTCCATTTTTAAACTGATGAGTAAATAGAGTCACAAAATTAAGTAATCAGTGGATATTTCAAATACATAAAAATAGAGTGTTTCCAAGTATTTGACATTCACTTTTAGAGGGCTGGGGTCAAGACATAACTGATATTTCTGGGAATTTTATTTACAATTAAGTAAGATTAATGGAGGCCCCTTAATAGTTAGAACTTAAAGATACTCAGTTTATTCTGTGACAGCATTCATTGTTCTTAGATATGCTTATGCTTCTATTTGTGTAATCATTCATTAAGTTAACTCTCTTCTAGACCAAAATCAGAAGATGCCTGGGTGTTCGCAAAACCCAATGCCATTCAGGCCCTTGGTGTCATGTCATTTGGTGAGTATATGGTTTCAAGGGCGTTTTCTCAACATGGAGTCTTCTGTGCAGTGAGAAAGTGCTGTGTTTCATATTTGTGTCTGAGAACAGATGACCTAAGTTTTAGACATCACATTAACAGCATATGACCTAGTTTGTGCCACCATAAAATTAGGCTCAAACTTTTCTCACTCATCACTAAAATGTTCTTCTATTTGGACAAGTCTCTTTCTCATGCAGAATACTCATTAAAGTCATCTTATTTCTTAACTTGAAAATCTAGCAATGTTATGGACTTCTTGAAAACCTTGCACATAAATTATTAGGAATTGGACAGTTGTCTACAGCTACTCTGTTACATCCCAGATTGGAAAAGAAACTTTGGACTGAAAAATACAGTGTCGTATATATTCCCTTTAAGATTGGAAAGGCCACTAAGAAATAGAAAGTGAAATAGAAAATTGAATAGGCCTGGTTTATATCAAGAGTGACATGAAGAAACTACGCAAACCTAATGTGAGTGAAATTTCTCATTTCCAAAGCTGTTAGAAAGATTATTTTTTGACATCAAATTAGTATATTTGAACTTCAGTTCATTTGCATTCCAAAGTAGCAGACATCTCTGAGTTTTCAGAAGTAAAAAAAGGAATACTGGTGCTTGCTTCAATAATGGTTTTATTTTTACTTTTTTTGCAGCATTTATTTGCCACCATAACTGCTTCTTAGTTTATGGTTCTTTGGAAGAACCTACAGTGGCTAAGTGGTCCCGCATCATCCATTTGTCCACCTTGGTGTCTGTCTTTATATGTATCCTTTTTGCTACATGTGGATACTTGACATTTACTGGCTTCACCCAAGGTAAAAGGAGAGGGAAGGTCTTACCACCATTTGCTATTCACGCAGAGTGGTGCTGTCATTTCTCATCTGGGTATGATTATAACCAATATTCTACTTCTGACTAACACTACCTCTCCTACCCATTTCCTCCTCTACCTCTTGCCCTTATGCTGTTTTTGTTTCCTTATTTTCTCCTTTTTAAACTGCTAAATTTCAGCTGTGACTGATGTGGCTCAGTAGGTGGGGCATCATGCTACAAACAGAAAGGTTGCAGGTTTGATTCCTGGTTGGGGCACATACCTGGGTTGCTGGCCATGTCCCAGGTTGGGGGTGTGTGAGTCATTTCTCTTGCACATGCTTGTTTCTCTCCCTCTCTTTCTCCTTCCCTTCCCCCTCTCTCTAAATAATAAATAAACAAATAAGAATCTTTAAACTGCTACATTCCTGCAGCCCGTTCTTTCTCCTTCCATGCTTTCCTTTCAGAGCTCGTGAATTTTGGCTTCCTTCTCTACTCCTCCACTGTAACTTTATTTTCAAAAACAATAGTTCGCTTCTATTCTTCAAAGCTAATAATCCTCTCGGTTCAGATTCTCACAGACCTCTCTCCATCATGTAAGAGTACTGAACGTGCTTTCTTTCTTCATGGAAAACAGAGCACTGCCTTGCCATCACTCACTCTCTTTATGTTTTTTTCTATTTGAATAATTCGCCTACCTCCTTCTCCCCTATACCGCCCACCCCTCACTAACTGGCTCAGGCGAGTTGCCTTCTTTTGCCTTTTCACAAATTCTCTAGAGATTTTTATTATCTTAACTAGTCCAAACGTTTTTTCTCATCTCCAGCCTCTTGCCTACATTTCTACTTCGTTGTCCCATTCGTGCCTTAAACACAAAACATTATTCCCACCAAACCAACCCCTTCACTCTCCCCAGCCTCACCCTACTGTCCCACAGCAAGCTTCTCTTGTCTTCCATTCACGAAGGCTCAACAACAGAGCAGTCACCTCCTCTCTTCCTTTGACCCTCATATTCATGCATCTATGTAGTGTAATGTACAGTCTACTCGGACAGCCTGCTAACTGCTATGATTCGTGCATCTCACAGCTTTTGCAGGTCTATTATCTCATTTGACCTTCAAACAATCCTATGAAAATAAGTGGAATAATGAGCTTTGCCCCCTGCTTAAAACACAAAGAAAAGTGACTTGTTCAAGCTGGCTGGTGACGGTGTAGAAAACAAGTCTCCTGATTTCCAGTCTACTTTTACTTTTGTTTTTTTATTGCTGCCCACCCCATTGTAGTAAAGTGTGACCCATTAAAAACTGTCTCTTAGACTCCCTTTCCTCTTAGGTCAGTTGTCTGATGAGGCTGAAAACTGGGTGGATGGTGCATTGTTTCAAACAGAGGTTAGAAGTGTCTATGATTAAAGGCAGATATTTCTCAAGAAATAACGATGGCTTCAAAAGAGAGTGATTAACATGGTTTCAATGCAGTATAAATATAATACAATACATGCACCCTTAGAGTGCAGTAATGAAGTACTTTGAAAGTTTTGATAAGAATTGTGTTTCAAAATATTGCCACGTATCACTATTTTTGTCAAGATGAATGACCTTGCAGGCTCCAGTCAGTACAAAACCTTGGTTTGTAAATGCCTTCTCTGTAAAACATAAACCCTTTTCTTAGTCACACCTTCCTGGTGTTTTTATCAGTGGCAATTGCTCAGAAACAATTAAATCTTTATATAACAAAGCTGACGGGTTGGTCTGGGTTTGTTTTTGTTGTTTCTTTTCCCCCTAGCTATAATTCCCTAAAATACACTTGCACTCAAGCTAGAATAAGCTGACATTGTTTCTTCAGGCCGTTTCACCTTAGGCAAATCTGGTCTTGTTTGTGCAAACTGTGTGCTCCTTTTTTTTTTCTTTCAGTAGTTTAATTTCAGCCTTGTGAGGAGGCAGTAAGATTTCTAGATTGTTCTTGACATTCCCAGTGACTTTTGAATAGGCGTCAGGCTCATTTTTTAGTGGAGGTTAGTGAAGGGGAGCTTCTGTCCTTTTTCCTTAGAGTGCTGGAACCTTTTCAATCAGCCTTGAAACAAGTCTCTGCCACAACTGCTTTGTGGTTTAATCCCCTTCTGCCCCAAAGGGGCACAGAAAGTGATACGCATTTGTTCTACAGTAGGAGGAGAGAAGAGTCACTTAAGTCTTAGGAAGAGGCAGGGCATTTAGCTTTTTAATGAATGAAAGTACAAAAGGATTTTTCTCTTTTTAAACAATGTCCTAGTGTGTGACTTTGATCTAATTTTTTTCAGTCTTATGGAAACTGTGGCCAAAATTTTAAAACATACACACATTACACTGAGGCAATAAACAGACTGAACTATTTTTTGTTTCAGCATTTGGAAACTTTTTGCTGACCTGTCTTCTGTGCCCCCATGAATTAGATCCAGTATTTTTTCATAGGTATCTGAGAAAATGTAGTTTCTACATAAGAATTGGTTCAAGGTATATATATACTCCATCATTTAGTTTGGAACTAATGAAATATAATGCTCCTCTCTATTTTCACAGTTTTGAATCCGTGCATTTACACTGGGGTTCATGGGATACCATGAAAGATAGTGTATGTTTGGAATTCCTTGCTGTTGCCCTGAATTTGTGATTAAACCCCATAGGGTGATACACAGGAAATTCAGCTCCCCAGATGCAATGGTCCATTCTTCCTTTAGTGATTGTCCTTGATCTATGAATAGCATTTCAAAAGGAAATTTGTTTATTTTAACAGACCCTTCTTTTAAAAAAATAGTGAAGTCATTTACTTACCAGAAACAAAGACCAGAAGCAAGTTTATAAAACCAATGCACAAGAATTTAGGGAGTTGATTCTGGTGTAAAAAGACAATGGATAAAAGTGCTTTTCAGAAGTTGATATAAATTTAAGCAAATTTGCCAAAACAAACAATCAAAGTAAAAGAAAAACTATTAGTGATGAATTAATCTTCGTGTGGTACATGTACTGGCTTGAATATCAGTCAATAATTATATTGTTATTTAATTCAAAATTATATTAGGATTTGGCCATCTGTTCTATTAATTAAATAAAATGAAGTTTATATAGCATCATTGATAAAATGTTCACTATCTTTTATTAGATATTTATATCAATATACAGTATCCATTAAGTAAATCTATCTTCTATCATTCTCTAGGAGACTTATTTGAAAATTACTGCAGAAATGATGACCTGGTAACATTTGGAAGGTTCTGTTATGGAGCCACTGTCGTTCTGACGTATCCCATCGAGTGCTTGGTGACGAGAGAGGTAAGCACAGTGCTTTCCCAACCTTTATCTAGGGAGCTCTCTACTACTTTTAATTTAGAAAGATTTGAAAATTGTTTGAATTTGTAGATTCTCAAGGCATGACTAGCAATATATGGAATTTTCTTTTCAGCCAGTTTAAAGATAAATTTATATTCAAAGTTTACAAGATATTTTTTCTAAAGTTAGGTTTGGTTTAATTTATATTAGCATAAGTATAAATATTTATACAACTGTATTCCAAAATGAATGCCAGCCTTTAATAGAGCCAACTAAGGAGTTAAAAAAATTCTTACAAAGAAATTAAGTACTAAGGTTTAAAATATGTTTTACAAAATTGTCTTTTTGATAAGCTATTTTGTAATACAACATGTATAGTATTAAAAGCAACATAGAACAGATTCTGATCCATCTCGTTATATTTTAAAAAATAAAATCTTATTTTCTATGGAAAATCAAAATTCTATTTAAGCCATTTGTTTTATATATATATTTCATTTATATGTTTGTATAAATATATTTATTTGAATTTATATACAATATAAAACAATACAGTTTTGTATGTATGTATTTATTTATTTACTTTTAAGTCAACTCCCAGTTATGTTATATAGTCTGTCTGCATTTGTGGAGGACAATTAGGTGAAAGAGAACTAATCCTTTTTGTGTAATATTAGATAACATGGCTTGTCCAGAGTCCCTTATGCAAGTTAGCTAACATTCCACTGTACCAGTTAGCAAAAAACATGATCTTGCTTCACAGTGCTTCTTTCAGGAATCATCCTGAAAAGGGACTATTAGTCTTAAGATCTGTTCCCAGAGCTTGGTTACACAGTGTGCTGTGTGAATGGCTCTAATGTGTGAAGTGAAATGCCTTCAGAGCATTGAATACACTAACTAATGGACAGGCTTTTGAAGGCAGATCAGTGTTTACCTTATGCCAGTTCTGGGGTAAGGAACTGCACAAGGAAATGGAATAAGGAAATGTTCAGCACTATGAATATCCTTTACAGTCAGCACTTGTCCTCACTTGTAAGAGTGTAACTCACTGGTCACCTCTCCACCTTGAACATAAGGGAAACTGGACTGAACTTTACTTTATGTATATTTTTAAAATCTAAAATGTTGCTAGCTAATGTTGGATGCCGGAAATGGTTTTATTTTAGCTTCTGCCAGGTACTTGAGGCTCAAATCTGATCTGCAGATGAGCAATAACAGATGGTGCATTCTCACATGGTTTCTGGTGAACTGTTTGTGGACAGTCTGAGTCACGCCACCTGCACGGTTTATGTCTTTAGTACTTGGAACTTGCATTTCCTTTCTAGCTGCCATGACAGGAAGACAGAACTAAATCAAGATCTCTGCCATCATAGCAATTACCGGGCAGAGGAACCTTGTATATCCCTCAGCCATTCACTTCTGTTCTCTTTTCCTTCTTTCCACACACCCACTCACACACAAATTCACAGTTGGCATAGACCCAATCAAAGCCATTTCTATTTATAGGTGAAATAGCCAGCCATATACAAGGGTGCCCAAAAGCCTGTCTCACCAGCCTGACTCACTAGTGATCTTTCACCATCACAATTCTATCCTGAAGGCCTCTAAAAGAATGAATTTGAAACAAGATAGTATTTGGAAAGATACTACCAACTATAAAACCGTAAATGAGTAAAAGTTATGAATATCCCCATTAAACAATTAGCAGACTTATGGTTGCATTCATCTATGGGAAATGTTACTTACTTACCACAGTTATTTATCACAGCTTAGAGAGATGGCTTTGTTAAGGTCTCCCTGCCTCTGACCATCTCCTACCGTCTGACTCTTGCATCATGGTTTTTCCATACAGCCTTTTCAGGCTGTCTCCTCTTTGTCATTCATAAGTATCATTTCTGTTCTTACTTCTTTGCTTTTTTTCACAATGTTGCCCCATTTTGTAATTCTGCTCTAAATCCTATCCATGTTTCAAGTCTCACCTCAAGCCAAGGTAAGACAAACACATTTCAGGAATGCTGTTTCAGGGAGACAGAACTGGATAAATAAAGCTTCTTCTAGTTCAAGATTCTATATGATTCTCTTATCCCGACATAAATTGACTACTATTTGCTTCATTAGGTTGGTCGGATCTCTCCAGTTAGAATGTTAATGTCTAAGAATAGCAATCACCTAGACATTTTCTCTTTGCCAGTCATATCACGGTGCAGGACATATTCAACAGGTAACTGTTGATTGATTTCCTAATCTGTGTATCAGTGAAAAATAATGATCAACTTTTCTCCATTTTGTTGAGGAAAGGCAAAGTAAAATAGATTTAACTTTGAGGAAATCTCAAAGTTATTTTGTTGAGGAAAATAGATTTAACTTGTATCAAACAGGATTTAGGTTGCATAACATTAATTTCCTGGTAGTAAAGGATATTACACATCCATTAATAAAGAAAACTATGGAAACTCCTTTCTTAGAGGTCATTCAAATAATCTAAATAAAATTTGTTATTTGTCTTAACAGTTGTTGGACTCAAGGAAGAAGGATAGGCAATTTGCAAAGGTCTCTCGTACACTTCCGAAATATATTTATTCACAATTAATATGCTAGGTACTGCCTTTGTAATATTCAACAAAGAGTACTTGTTATTGATGTGTGTATGTCTATGTGTAAGTACTTTGGAGAAGGTAGAATATTCATATGGCTTAAAATTTGATCAGTAGTGTTTTATACACTCCTAAGTTCCAAAATATAAAACACTGTCTTAATAAATCCTTCATGTGTCTGAGAATCCCTTTCCAAATATTCTATTTTTTACAGTTTTAAGTTGTATTCCCTATAATAGTAAGTTTTCTTTTTAAATAATTTATTGTTTATGTTTTACAGTTGTCCCAATTTTGTACCCCTCTACCCAACCCTCCCCCCATTCCCACAGTCAGTCCCCACACTGTTGTCCATGTCCATGGGTTGTGTATATATGTTCTTTGACTAGTCTCTTCACCTTCTTTCAACCAGTCTCCCCCTTCTCTCCCCACTCTTGCAGCTGTCAGTCTCTTCCACGTTCCCTGTTGCCTCTAATTCTATTTTAGTCGTTAGTTTGTCTTGTTCATTAGATTCCACTTATAAGTGAAAGCATATGGTATCTGTCTTTCATTGACTGACTTATTTCACTTAGCATAGTAGACTCCATTAAATAATCTATTTATTTGACAGGTAGTTGCCAATGTGTTTTTTGGTGGGAACCTTTCACCAGTTTTCCACATAATCATAACAGTGGTTATCATTACCACAGCCACGCTCGTGTCATTGCTGATTGATTGTCTTGGAATTGTTTTAGAACTCAATGTAAGTGCATTTAAAATTTTACTTCTCCCATTCTAAACATCACTTTAAAAATGGTGTTTGCATTTAACATAAGATGCATTTTCCTTTAAAAAGGTGTCACTTTCTGAAGATGATTTAACATATGCTTGTTATGTTATAGTAACTGTTTATAACGATGGCATTATGCACTGTATGGGACTATATACTTTTCGAACAGTGGTTCTCCAATGGGGGAACTTTTTTCTCTCTTTTTCCATGGGACTGTTAGCAATGTTGAGAGACATTTTTGACTGTCACAGCTGGGTAGGCAGTTGCTACTGGCATCTAGTGGGTAGAGGCAAGGGATCCTGCTAAACATCCCACAATGCTCAGGACAGGCCCCATGACAAAGAATTATCCAATCCGAAATGTCAAAAGTGCTGGGGTTGAGATACCCTGATTCAGAGCACTTTTTCATTTTCATTTTCTGTAATACATAGATATTACTAAACATAACTATAAATTAATGCATCTGGAATTTTCTTTTCTTTTTTTTTTTTTAAAGATTTTATTTATTTACCTTTAGAGGGGAAGGGAAGGAGAGAGGGAGAGAAACATCAATGTATGGTTGCCTTTTGTGCATCCCCTGCCGGGAACTAGCCTGCAGGGAACTGGCCTGCAACCCGGTATGTGCCCTGACTGGGAATCGAACCGCGATTGTCTGGTTCACAGGCCCGTGCTCAATCCACTGAGCTACACCAGCCAGGGCTTGGAATTTTCTTGCCAAGTAAAAATAGTCTAGAGAGATTCATTAAAATATGGGAATGAAGAGAGTGATATCCACACCCCGCGTTCACTTAGAATGGCCCATGTTCTTTTCCTTTAAAATCTTTTTTCTCTCTCTAGAAATTTCCCTTGTAATCTCTACTGCTACCTTCCAAATCTATGTTCTCATTATATCACAACTGAATTAATACTGGCTCTTTTGCTTCTACTAACACATACTTAGTTTTTCCTTCCAGTTTTTCACTATCCTGCTTAACAATCTCCGCTTTCCTACTGGAGCAAGCATAAGCTCTGTTGCCTCTATAATCTGACTCCATGCCTTCTATGGGAAGTTATTTACCATTCACTCAAAACCTACACTCATTTCTAGACACTCTTAGTTTTGGCCTATGAGTAAGTCAATTAGTTATTTTATTCTTTGGCTTATGTTTATTATTTCATATAATTATTATTTTCTTTTCATTTCTGTCCAAATCTTACAGAGATTTAAGGTCCAGTGCAACTTCTAACTCATTTATTCATTGAGCAGATATATACTGAATAATCACTATGTGCCACACAATAGAGATACAATAATGGGAGGGAATCAGAAAGGGTCCATGCTTTCATGAAGCTTACAGTTTCACAAATCAACATGCAAGTTCATCTGCTCTATAGGTGATAAAGAAGACAGAGTGATGTAGACAAATTCCCAAAAGACATTTTGAGAAAAGATTGACATTTCTTGGTGACAGATTCCACTGGGAAGACAGAGAAACTCCTTGGTTCTACTTTGTAGAACTAGGATAATGATGCCATTTGCTGAGGCATATATAATGTCTCAGAATCACAGAATTTATTACTCAGGAACCATGGAGAGCTGACTTTTACAGGTGAAATCCCACATCATCATTTACTCACTCCATTGAGAGGTGAGAGATAGGTGAAGGTATTGTCAGTGCCCATGACACTGTTCCTTCCAGATTCCACTTGGATTTGAAGTTCCAGACAAAAGCAGTGAAAGGTTCAGTCAGGAACACACTATTAGGGATTTTCTTGTAGCAGAGTATATAGAAAGCAGGGAGAAGACAGCTTCCCAAACCGCATAGGGCTGGGCAACTATCTACTCCACCAACAATGGAATGAAGCTCATGGGAGATGGACAAAATAAAAGGTACCTTGTACCTACTTCCTAGTTTTGCATAGGCCAAAGCCTAGTAGCTTTACTCAAAATCATTTCATGTTCCAACCTTCATCTATGTAAATGGATGAGTGTTACTTTAATGTACTAACTGGATTTATGTATTATCTTGCATCATGTACTGTTTAGACTCTCCATAAGTTTTCTTTTTTACCAAATTATAAGCTCTTTGAAGATGAGAATGAACTTCACTGCTATCTCCATCCTCCACGGTATCGGGCAGAGTGCTAAGAACACAGTGCTCAAATTACTTCACTGGTGATTGCCCCTCGGCACCAAGTGCAGGAACTATTTATACAAATGCTCCTGGACAGGGGACATTCTTTAGTGCAGCACCAGGAAATAGGGCATTACAAAAAACTGTTGGTGTTGACAGTAATAGTAATCCTTGAAGTATGCCGAGAAGATGATCAATATAATAATTGAGAGCTCTATTATTTCTTTTTTATTAACTACTTTGAATTTTATTGTTGTTCAAGTACAGTTTTCTGCCTTCCCCCCAACCCTCCACACAGCTCTGTTATTTCTTATTTTGTGAAATGTCTCACTTGAGTTCACATGTCTTTTTTAATATTGTAGGATTTTGATATGAAAGAAAATATGTTTATCAACTGCCTGACCACTCACCACTTCTTGACAGCCTAACAATTTTTTATTCCCTTCAAGTTCACCAAACCATACACTTATTGTTTATTCTTCAGGAATGTGCTATTTTTGTAAATGTGACCATTAGTTTCTGCTCATTGATAACCTCCCTGACACTTGAACAACAAAATTACAAGCATGTAATCTATTAAATATTCTCTACTGCACTAATGTTGACTTTTACAAATGAAATCCCAAGTTATTATTTACCCCACTAAGAGTTGAAAATTTTCTGTGGTTAAGACAGAATTCTGATATTATAATCAGAGAATAATATTTGGCAAATATCTGTTATAAAGTCAAGATCTGAGCTGGCTGTAGGGGACTAGTTTTAAAAATTTAATATATGACTGTAGCTCCTTAGGTTTTTAGAAACTCGTGTATGTAGACAGTCATAAAAAACAATTAAAAAGGAGTGCTAAATTGTCTGTTGTGGTCTAATAATCCAAGATGATCACACTAGTTTTAAAGTACTTTGTAGCTTAATAAAATCTAGGATCTCCTTTCTCTTTCAGACTACCTGAGCACATATTTTCCCAATCAAAAGTCTTCTGGTATGCACAATAACATATGAAGGTCTTTATTCAGCTCCCTTTGGTGTGGGTGTTTGTCATGTCTCATAGAGCCACATCAAGCATCACTTGTCAGTAACTAATGCAGGCTGGATCGTGCAACACTTTAAACGCAACTAAAGCTGTATTTTAGTTCAGAACAACTATGTGAGGTAACATGTATTGAGTATTTAGTCTATACCAGGGGGTTGGCATACATTATCTTCCTTAATCTGCCTTAATTTTACAGATGAAGAACCGAGGCACAAAGTGATTAGATAGGGTCACACTAGTTGCAGGTGGCAGAATCAAGATTTGGACACAGGCTTTTGAACCCTATAGCCCACATTTTTAATCCTTGTGCTAGCCTGAGGTTTCCTAGGTGTAGGCTTTACATTGTGTAAAATAAGTATGTTCACTTCTCTACTCACTTCTAAGTTAAAAATCTATGCATTGTGTTCACCTGTAAAGTAATCCATAATATATATGGATAGACTTTAATAATGGGTTAAAACAAATACCATGAGATGAAATAAAATAAAACTAGAAGTTTTTTTATCTAAACAAATAATCTTAACTAATGATTTTATCTTAGTTAATAATTATAGCACTTTAGGAATTCTTTTCTGTTGTGGCTCCTGAATCTCCACTAAGAATAATGATCTTCACAGATGAGATGCATAATAGATTCAGACCTTCAATTTGCGAAGTTAGGAAAATACTGTTACTTAGTGTAATAAAAAATATAGGATACATTACTCAGGATTATGTTAGTTATTTAATAAAATGCAAAACACCATTTAGAATTTCATTTCCCTCTTATTTCACTGTTTTCATGGCAGTAAACAATTATGTAGTTTTCCAAAACAAATGCAACCTTGATGTTAGAGGATTCATTTTCGAAGCAAATAAAATAAATTATGTCCCATTCTTGGTAGCATCTCACACCAGCGTTGCTATTAGAGAAAAGAGGCATCTGTGTTAATTGGACCCTGTGGGTTTCGACTTGCAGCAACAGAAAGAGAAAAGATGAAGCAGCTGGTGCCTGTGGCCAGAGTAACCAGCCCAACAAGCACTGTGTGCAGCTCACAGTGGCAGGGAAAAAGCAAGCCATTACCAAGTGAGAGCTCATGTAGGGACGCAGTCATCAGACTGAGCAAGCCATGGTCCAAGCTGCCAAAGCCCTCCAGAGCTCAAGTTTCTTTTCAAAGAACAGGAATGCATTTCATGAGTCCAGATTGACTACAAAGTAGAGATTTAAAGGAGGTATAAGCATTCTTTTATTTTGTTTTCAGCCTCTTGCCTCATTTGAGAGGTATCCATTCAGGTAGGAGAATTCAGATACTTTTCGAATCTATGCTGTCAGTAAAAATCTTTAACACCTTCTGCTTTTCCCTGCAAAATGCTCTGGCATCAATATTGTTATTATAAAAGGAGAGTGCTCTTCCGGCTTTCTAAATAAGGCTATATTTTGTCTTTTTAATAAACTATTATGGTGTTTCTGTCCTGTCAAGCCATTTCATGAAGTATTCCAAGGCCAGTAGTATATTCTCAAGCATGGCTACATTAAACAGATCAAGTAAGCTGGCTTCTTTATATAAAATACAGTAGATGGAACTGTTCTATAATTTTACACTTGATGTTGGGTCCTAATAGCAACCTCTAGCAAGACTAAGCTTTCAAATATTAAGAAGTAACTGCTATCTACAAGACACCCAACGGGACTTCTTTCAATACAAACATCAGCTCTATAATTTTCCCACTAATTGCTACTTTCTCAGTTTTTAAGAATTATAATATAAACAGAACACCCATTGCTTTGTACTGCCCAGCAAGTTAGGTTTGGAACCATCCCCAAATGCTTTGTAGCTGGTGGCAGTTTTCATCCTTACAGCACTTTTGTATCCCACACTCCAGATGAATTATAGTTTGTTCCTATAAAAGGAAAAGACTTGCCCCATAAACACATATTATACACACTCATATATGTTTGTGTTTTAATTACCTTTTTAACGTTTTCAAAAATTATTTTCAGGACCTTAAAGAGTAATAATTATTATTAACACAGGTTGAGTCATCCAGGTTTTCTCCTAATTTAGAAAACAAGGTCAGTTTCAAGTGTTATGACAAAGTTCAAGGGATCCATAATACATCTAATTATGGTCATATGAAAACTAATCCTTTATACTTATGTACCTTTGTGGATATTCATTTTTACTCAGGTGCTATGAATGGCAAAATTACATTGTCTATATATTTTAAATTAGAATATGCTCGGTACCTCCTAGTAGCTTCTCATTCTTATATTTCTGACTATAGAAATCTTTTCCATGAAGTGTGGCCAGTCCTATTCTTCCCCAAATTTTTAGATACTGCCTGGCTGATTTTATCATGTGTCTTTCTTAATAATCATTTACTGTTCTGTACATTTGCTGTTTTTTTTTTTTATCTTTGGAAGGAGAGAGGGAGAGAAACATCAATGTATGGTTGCCTTTCATGTGTCCCCTGCTGGGAACTGGCCTGCAGGGAACTGGTCTGCAACCCAGGCATGTGCCCTAACTGGGAATCGAACCGCGATTGTCTGGTTCGCAGGCCCGTGCTCAATCCACTGAGCTACACCAGCCAGGGCTGTACATTTGCTGTTTTTGTAAAAAAAATTTAAAATACATTCTTGGAATCATAGTTGTAACAGTTCTGGTATGATGAGGATGCTACTTATCATAAAAGCCAGTAATTTTAGTAAATGTTGTCTTTAAAACTATTTTTAAGGCCTAAAATGTTCTTTTACATCATCCAACTTCAAAATCAGTTTTATGTGTTTTTACAAATTACCAAAGTTGTGTCAAAAGGCTTTCAAAACTTTTTTAAAAAGAAAAATTTTAATTACCAACATAATGTGTCAAAAGGTTTTCAAACCATAGCTGATAGATGTATAAGGATTTCATTATACTCTTCTTTCTATGTTTCTATATATTTACAAATTTCATAACTTTTTCAAATATAGCATAATGTACATTTTTATGAAAAGCTTGCTTTTAATTTTAAACCAGTATCACATTTGCTATCAAGTGTATGTCATAGGAAACCCTTGTGTTTTATGGCTTAAGAAAAATATTGCTTGTCATACAATTATATTTTATTAATGTCTGTTATATTTTTAATATATTGTACAATTCACATTTACTATAATTAGAAAAATCTAGTACCTAAAATGCTTTAAATTTTAACATTATTTTGTTTGCAAACATTCTAGTGAAAATTTGGCCTCCTCAAGGGAAAAATTTCTTTCCCTTTGAAGTAAAAACCTCTTGGTATTTTTATGATAGATGACCCTACTCATAATTTTCAATCTGACATTTCTCCTTAGGTTGGATTTACCCATAAACTACTGTGAGAGAGTGTGAATGAGTCACAGCCATTTAGTTCTGCTGTCAATTTTCTAGGATAATTAATGTGTTCAGTTTTATCTGAAAGATGATATAGAAATGTGATTTTTATGTTGAGTGCCCTTGGGTTATAATTTTCCTTCTCGTATAGACAAGCACCTACTTTCATACAAACTCAGGTGAAAATAAAAGACAATCTGCCCTATATATCTCCAAATAGTTCCCTCTTATCCACAATGACAAATAGACCTCTTAGATCGAACAGCATAGTGGAAAACACAGAAATTTGAAATGAGGAGTGTAAGGTAATATGATGTCACTGAAAGTGTAGAAAATGTCAGGAGTTTGCCAGAGGTCAGTCTTACCATCTTTTTTGTTTTCTGTATTATATTCTGATTATTCTTTCTAGTCTAGTGTATTATACTCTGTTATATGTTTTTTTACTCTTACTTTACTTTTCTCATTTGTAAATATGCCATCAGTAAAAAAAAAAACAAAAACTATTCCTAAGTTTTTTTGGAATGTTTTTTCCTTTGATTGAGTTAACCAATCCCATACAACTTTTAACATGAGCAATGACAAATAGAGTTCATAAATGTTTTTAAAAATTGTCCAAGGAATGTTCCAGCCGATAACATTATCTTGTTTCTCATTTCACTACGCAGGGTGTGCTCTGTGCGGCTCCACTAATTTTTATCATTCCGTCAGCATGTTATCTGAAACTTTCTGAGGAACCGAGGACGCACTCTGATAAGATTATGTCCTGTGTCATGCTTCCCATCGGGGCCGTGGTGATGGTGGTCGGGTTTGTCATGGCCGTGACAAATCGTCAAGACTGCACACATGGGCAGGAAATGTTCTACTGCTTTCCTGACAACTTCTCTCTCACAAACATCTCAGTTGCTCAGAGTCAACTCACAACTCAACTTTCGATTGTAAACACTAGTATCTTTTAATGAGTTGACTGATTTTTAAAGTATGTACATTTTCATAGACTTTTAAACCACACAATACCATTCACACACATGTTTTAGTGTCTTTATTATAAAATTATTACTTTGGCATTTATTAAGACTTGGCTTTCTTTGTTTTTAGTTCATTACAAAAAGTAAAGAGAAATCGAAAATTGAATTTATTTTATCTTAAGCTGGGGCAAAATAAATATTTCATTTTACCGACTACTGCACTAATCTTAATTGCAAAAGGAAAGTGAAGCCTGGGACATTTGCTGTCATCCTCTCAAAGCATTGTTCTTTTATTTAATATGTGAGCCAACATATTCTGCTTTCAAATAAGTGGATGTTTGGGGTTTAGAGTTTTGTATACGTGCCCTTCAGGAGAAAAAAAACAACCTGGTTTTTATGCTTTAAAGTCTATGGAATAAAAGGGAAGAGAAGGGAAACTATTAAAGAATGCAAATATTCCAAAAGTGAACTGAAGCTCTCCTTTACAATTTCACCCGCATCCCTAGTATAGACACAAGTGAATCCCTGGAGAAATGAGTCAATTCTTTGCCATGTTAAGAGTATGAATAATACACTGGATTTACAGAGCAAGATGTGTGAGGAATTGAAATTTCAAAAGTTTGAAATTACCTCCAAACTTTTGATCCTTTGAGAATATAATGGTAGCGCCATTAAATAAATTATAAAGCAGGACTGGAAAACTCACAAGTTATTCTGAGGAAAGAGTCCAACAGATCATGTTGCATCAGCTTTGGACCTGTGGAATTCAAAACGCTGGCAGGAGTACCCAACTGCAAGCCGAACTTTCAGAAAAGAAGCTTGCAACAACAATCAGAGCTGCAGAAGAGACATCCTTACTCCTTCAGGGGGGTCCTCAGAGAAATTCATGGGAGCTTTTGTCCACTGGATTCTCCATAAGCAGACACTAACATGGGGTTGGCATGCAAGTATTCATTGGGGATAATGCCTCCTAGGAGAGGAGGAAAGCAGGATTAGGGGGGCAAAGTGGAACTGCAGTACAGGCCAAAAAAAGCCTTAGCCAAGTCCACAGGGCAGCTGGAGCACACCTGGCTCATCAGAATTGTCCCTCCTCAGGACCAAGAGCACAGTATTAACATCACTGCCTATATGAGTCCATAAAGGTGGGCTCATATAGGCAGTGAAAGGAAGTGCCTTTGGGTTAAGCAGTTCTTTGCAGCCGAGCAAACCATAAAGGAACTGAGAGCTGGTGGCTCTCTGCTGGTCACTGGAACACCACGTGCTTCCTTGTAGGGAATCTGGTACACACAGCTGTGCCCACCACAGCTGACCTCAGTTTTTAACTAGGACTTCTTATACAAGATCTGTCTGGAAAAAGTCCAACCATTGTTAATATAATCAGAACAGTTTGCATGACATTGACATAACCTGGCAGCCAAGGAAAGTGGACTGGAATGCGCGTGTGTGAGCAATGACAACTTCACTGTACTAGTCAGTGGGGGCAGTAGGTGCCCTCAAGTGAGCATGTGTACTGTGTGGCCATCGAATTCAAAATGACTGAGTGAGTAGAGCAACTAATCTGCATCAGATTTTGTGTTAAACTTGAACATTCCTCTGCAGAAACTATTCAAATGATTTAGAAGGCCACGGCTATGGGCAACTGGTGATTGGCAGCTTCGTCATTACAGTGTGCCTGATCATGCATCATGATCATCTCGTGCAGAGTTTTTTTGTGAAACATTAAATAACTCTCAAGTGACTCAGACCGCATAACAGACCAGATTTGGTGCCCTGTGACTTCTGGCTTTTCCCAAAACTAAAATCACCTTTGAGAGGGAAGAGAATCAGTGAGATTCAGGAAAATAAGATGAGGCAGCTGATGGCAACTGGGAGAACTGTGCGAGGTCCTCAGGCTCCTACTTTGAAGAGGACTGAAGTGTCATTGTCCTATGTACAATGTTTCTTGTATCTTGTGTCTTCTTCAATAAATGTCTGTTTCTCTTATTACATGGCTGGATACCTTCTGGACAAACCTTGTATCTCATCATGAGTATTTCATGTCTTCATACCTATGACAATCTTTTATTTTTTTAAGTTTTCTTAAATTTATTTTTTATCCTTACCTGGGGACATTTTTTCCTTGCTTTTAGAGAGAGAGAAAGAAAGAGAGAGAGAGAAAAACACAGATAAATAGAGACATCAATATGAAAGAGAACCAGTGATTGATTGCCTTCTCGAACATGCCCCAACTCGGATTGAACCCACAACCTGGGTATGTGCCCTGATGGGGAATCAAACCTGTGACCTTTTGAACTATGGGAAGATGCTCCAACCAACTGAGCCACACTGGCCAAGGGATCTTTTATTTTTTTAATATTTTTTTCAATTATAACTTACATTTGGTATCATTTTATATTAATTGCAGGTACACAGCATAGTGGTTAGACAATCATATACTTAATAAAGATCCCTCACTATTACCAATACCTACTTGGCACCATTTTATGACTATCTTTTAAAAGTAACAAGAGAATTTGGTACCATCTGGGTAGCTACCTTATATGAATTATCACCCAAGATTTTATTTCTCACCTTTTCATTTGTATTTTAATCGCACTGATAATCCATAGCATATTAATTACTGCCAAATACTGAGACAGTATCACAAGCACAGTTTCTACACACATGATGTGTTCGTACAAATCACAGGCCAAAAACATCCCACAGGAAGTAGATAAAGGATAGTTTCACAACAGTTTGAATCTAGTGGGAAAAGCTGAGTCATCCTGTATCTCACATAGTAAGAAAGGCCTTTTGAAAGCCAAGGAAGCAGTGCCTTAGCAGGAAGAATCGTGCTCAGGCTTTGAGTGGTGGGTGAATTTGCTTTCATAAAACATCACCCTGCCACTAAATTAATGTAAGTTCTATTGCTTATGTAGACTTTCTGTATTTAATTTGTAGATTTGTTTCTGTAGTTGTTCAAGAATCATAAGGTTAAGTGATTTATGCCTATTTTTAAATCAATACATATTTTGGTAAAATAACAATAGAAATTCTTTCATTCCATACTGAGGGAATGTAAGAAAAATTTTTTTCAACTGCCTAGCACTACATTACTCAAGATTGAGAAACACTGACCTACTTAGTTATTAGATAAAATCATGAGAGATGAGATTTCCAAGAATGTACGAAGAGAAGCGCGTCAAGGATAACGTAATTTAGCACTTACCCGTCTATTATCTGGTACTTTCAGTATTGCTTCAGAGATAATAACCTTGACTCTTCAAGTAAGTCAAAAGCTCCGGGTAGGAAGTGAGTGCTACATTAATGCCTAGCAAATATTTATTCTGTTTTTATGTTTTGTTTTTGTTTTTGTTTTTTGCCCCAAATCATCTGGAGAACAAGAATACCTTGGATGCAGTTGTTAGCTACATGAATTGCCAAAATCTTTTAAGTTACAATAAAATAAATCTTAGAAATCCACATCTATTTTGCAAAAATATTTGTTTCTTTATTTTACTAACATTCAGAACTTCAAGAAACCCTCAGTCTATTTTATGCTTCAGTTTAATTAGATTTCCAGTGAAACCCATTCCTTCCCTACTAATTCTTGCCCTTAACAAAGCAACTTAAGGTTTTTAAACCAGTTTTTTAAGTTCTTCTGCATTTGAAGAAGAACTTAATTTAATTAAGAAAATTAAATTCTTAATTTTAAAAAGAGGGGAAGGAATAAGATCTTTACACACGAATGTAAACATCTAATAATACATTTTCTTTAAGGATATAGATTGAATTGAATCTGTATAATATAAATTGGGTCCCTGCCCACACCATGTATAATGGGATCTTTAATCTCAACTCCACTCGAACCATCTTCAAACATCAGAACAGGTAGACTACCTTGCTTCTGACTTTTTACAACACTGTAAAGCATTAATCGTTGCCTTTTGTTTTTCTTAAAAGTCTCTGAAATCCAGGTTATCCAGCTAAGAAAGTTTTGATTACTTCTCTCCTGCAGTCATTACTTCACTAAGCTACTTAGTTAAAAATTAATTTACAAGGGAGGACCTGAAAAAAAAAAAAAAAACAGAATAATCTTCTGGAGGGCAGATCCCTTGTTGTACACATTTCCCCCGGCTAGGTGAGTGTTCTAGGAACTCATCTGTGTCAGTGTACCAGCTGGCGTTGTTGTGAGAGGCTACATTTGGCTTCAGTCAATTTTTTTTGAAGACTCCTTCAACACATTTGCCCATTTCACAGTGGGTGATTTACGAGCACACCTGCCCACACTGTGCTGAGTGTTCAGCAGTTCTTGACCAAAAACGGCATGACTCCCATGCCCCACCTTCCCTATCCAACCAATCTCACCCCAAGTAGCTTTTTTTGTCTCCTGGGGTGAAAAAAGTTCTCAAAAATGTTTTGCTGATGTGGAATGGGTGAGACAAAAAACAGCAGAAGCACTAAAAGGTATCAACATCTACAAGTTCAAAAACTGTCTTGGGCTGTGGAAAAATTGTCTCCATAGGAGAGTACTTTGAAGGTAGCTGAAGCTTAAACATATAAACATAATAAATATACAAATTTTTATAAATAGATTTTGGTGTTTGGGGGTCCCTCCCATATCAGACAGGAGCAGGCCCCCTTTGATCTGTGTGCTGCACTTTTCTCAGGAAAGCAGCGCTGGTCTGCGTTTCAGGAGAGCTGGCCCCTGGCAGAACCCAATCATCCGGTGTGCAGAGAGTGGCTCAAGCATGGACCAGCTGGTGACCATGAGCTAGGGTACTCATAAATGCTTCACTGACTGTGGTGGGAAAATAATTAACCACACCACTTACATAGGCTCTTTTAAGGATTTGTAATCATCCCCACCCTGGCCAAGTAGCTCAGTCGGTTAGAGCATTGTCCTCATACACCAAAGTTGTGTGTTCTATTCCAGTCAGGGCACATATAAGAAACAGCCAACAAATATATAAGTGGAACAACAAAGTGATGTTTCTCTCTCTCTCTCTCTCTCCCGAATCAATTTTAAAGAAGAATTTATAATTATTCTAAAA